CAGAAATATCTAAAAATGCATTTCCTCCATTACACTGTTACAATATTCTCACCAGTCCGTAACCTTTGTGTTAATTGGACCACTAGTACAAAGTGCCCGTGTGTATTTGCACAAAGATGACAGTTCATCATTTGCTGTGAGCAATTTCCTTATTATTACTGCTCGGAACCTCAGAGTAAAAGGTCAATATTTATCTATCTCATGCCTGCATGTGCACGTGCACACACACACACACACACACTCACAGGCCTATCCATACTAATGAAAATAAAAATGGTGGGGGAATGCACAAATCTTGAGCCTCTGCAGGAGAAGTGAAAAATACTCATTTGTAGGAAGTAAAAAAAAAAAAATCTGTATGCTATGTTATTCCCCCATGTGTTGTCATTTCAGCCCAACGTGATTCAATATGCTTTTAATTATTTCTCTCTGTAAGGAGAGGGCCCTCTCCGCTCCCATCTCTCCAAGCTCAGTTTATGGGGAGATCTCAGCAGGCCCCTTTACTCTCTGCTCTGTTAAGAAGTGTTATATGCTTTTTAAATGCAATGTCCGCCACACGCATCCCTCACACACACACACACACACACAGCTGTTGTAGATCCTATGGAAGCTGAGTTGGGGTAGGGCAGGGTGTGGTTGATGTCAATCCATGGTTCACCCTCAGCTGTAATTTAGTATACAAACAAGAAAACATAATGTAGACTTAATCTGGAGTCATGTCGACCCCCCTGAAGTTCAGCTGAACATATCAGGTACATATCAATCTTTCCACTCTGCTGTGCTGAATTTGTCAAACATCATCTCCCCCAAAAAATCAACACCTGACAGCGGCGTACACAGCACAGCAGACCGCACTCCGTCCCTGCGACTAATCAGCCAGACGATAAACGCAGTGGAGATGAAGACCCGCGTCTCGTCGGGACACCAGAGGGTGGCATCTCCTAGGGCAGCAGTGGGTGGCGCGCTAAACTGGAACGCTCGACACAAGTTTAGGGCCTAATCGTCTCATTGTCTCCGTTCTGCTTGAAAGGATCAGCAGCCATGCTAAGCTCCTCAGGGTACCAGTCCTCAGCTGCTCTCTGCCATCTTGCTTTGTCTTTGTTGCTGTTGTTTGTGTTTGATGAATAGAGACATTTTTTTTACTGCCATCATTCAGGTATTTTATTCTGTTCACTTTTCAATTGTTTTTAGTTACTGATTGTGTTTATTTTGTGTTTTTAGGTGTTTTGTGTTGTCAGCAAGTGCTTAATTCTAGTTTTGTATATGTTTCATGAGCAGCAGAGGAAGTATTGTAATCCTTGAATAGTCATTGTAATAGCACAATGGAAAACGTATATAAACTTTACTCCACTTCTTCCCACTGTACAAAAATATCTGATTGCGACATCTCAGTCCCTTTTTACCAAATAAACAATTAAAACAGGGAAAATAGTAAAAAAAGCTGTTAAGTGGCATAAAATGCAAAACATTTTTCTTGAATCCTGCCGCCCTGTAGTCGTACATGCAAACAGTAAGTCAGTGCCATGTCATGATGAGTAAGCCCCCTCTCTGTATCAGCTCATGCCTGTGAGGAAGTGTTTACCATCTGTCTATAATCTCACGATGTCTAGGATTTGTTGAGGCTTTGCTGTATGTATATTCTGGACACTGTCCCGTTACCCATACTGCCTCCATGGTACAACACATTCACATCATGCTGTCATGCAGCTCCTGTTTTGTTCCTGATTCGTGGACAAGTTGTGAAAAGTATTAAACATACTCCACAGATTCCCCCATTAGAGCTGATGATCTGATTAGCCTGCTGCTTAATAAATAATAAAGGAACCATAGGTGGGTCAGTGTTTACTTTATTGTGGTCTGTTAGGAGCTTATCCCATTTGAGGATAAAGTGTGGTTAAACACTGGCCCTTCAGTGGGCATCGCATGCTAAAGTTTAGTTGTGACAGAAACACAACAGAGCCAGGGGCAGAGAGTGGGAGACAGAGCGCCTGAGACAGGAAAGGAAGAGAGAAAGAGAGGGGGAGCTTGTAGCCCCCGAGGGCCCCGGTCCTATCTGTCACTGTGCCAGAACGATTCGCCCTGTAACTGATCCATGGACACAGAGTCTACAGGTCAACTGTGACAGCCTGCTTGGTGTGTGTCTTTGTGTCTTATGTGGGTGTGCGTGGGTGCATCAGTGCATCTGCATCCTGTCTCCTACGATGTCAGTGGCTGTCAGTCTTCATCTATTGACGCAGAGCACAGAGATGTGTGTGTGTGTGTGTTTCTGTGTGTGTACGATGTGTGTGTGTGGTCATTGGCCGCTAACGAAATGAGATTCAGGTAGGAGATGCGGTGAAGGGCACCATGGGGTTAGAGCTCCACGAGAGCAATATGTTGCCATGGCAACAGTCAATGAGACTTTGTCCACGTGAGGGTGGCTCATGCAGGGAGGTTGAGAGAGAGAGAGAGAATGGGGCGGAAACAAGTTGGAGTGAAGCAGTTGCCATAGCGACTCTCCATTGCAGCTGCCTGCAGATTTCTCTCTCCCAAAGTGCAGAGTGTGACGGCCTGACTGATGCACTGGTTTTAGCATCATGGCCATGTACACGTATGACTGCGTTTGTGTGACGGCCCAGTGGAACCGCTGGTGTTTATATATGCACACTGTTTATTTGTATGTACAGTACATGAGCAGGTTTCAAAGGGAGCCAGACACCCTCCATCTCTTCCCGACTATCAGATCCTGTAGCTGCGATATATACGTATGTGGTTGTCCTGCACTGCTGCTCTCTCATATCCCCAGGCCTATACACACACACACACACACACACACACACACACACACACACAGGAGCCAACAGGGGTTGTCACTGTGCCACAGTTCTAAGTCCTGTGTGCCATATGCTACCGTGGGCTCCTGGCAGGCAGGAGTATCGCTGCTCTCAGTCAGGAGAGACTGGTTCAAAGGCCAACGAGGGCCCATCAGGGACCATCCTGCACACACACAGCTCTGCAGGAGCAGGCATATGCTGGAAACTCAGATGACTGACGTTGACTGGGTGTATTTTGGGAGTAATCTGCATGCATTTATTCAGCAACGATGCCAATATGTAGTTTCGGTTCTCAGAAAGACTTATTTTCTGAGATGTTTATTTGTTTAAATGTAAAAACAATTCCAATGTGATTAGAAAGAAGGAAAAATGAAAAGCTTCTAAATTCAAAATAACTCAGCATAAGGACATGACTGACCAATAACAGATGATTCTGTTTTTTAATTAGACGGTCTGTAACTGGTCTGTATTTCCTCTCAGTCTTGATGACCATTGGAAGCTCATTTTAATACAGTTTTGCCATTCACCTATTCACACAGACTCCATACAGTGCATCTATGTGCAGCACTTTCTCTATCACACATCACTCACACTCTGCCAGCACAGCCGTCAGGGGCAACTTGGGGGCAAGTATCTTGCTCAAAGACTGGAGACTTGGATCAAACCGCAGACCTTCTGGTTAGTGGACGACCTCCTGAGGCACCCACCTAGGAAAAGATGACGCTAAATGATTTACTTTTCGAGTTAAAACAGGTGGTCGAGAGATTGACAGTGTGTGTTTCACCAGAAGCAAACTTTTTGTTGTGTCGTCAGATGATAGAAATGACATTTTTGTGTGAAACCTTTCCATTATCTTTCCTTTTTTTCACCGTGAGGCAGGATCCGCTAACAATTTGTGCCAGTGCAAAAAATATGATCGCGTCCAAGAAAACTGTGTTGTCTAGAGATTTCCCCACGGGGGAGTGAGGACCGAGAAATTGCTTGCTACAGCCGTCCCTGCAGCTCAGGGCAAGCTGCAATTTGCATTCACGGGAGATTTGAGTTCTAAGGTGTAAAATAAAATGGGGAAATTATAGAAATTCATGACGGACATGAGGAATTAAGAGCCACAGGCCTTTCATTATCATTATGTGCCAATTTTGCACAGAGTGATCCTCAGACATCAGCATCACCCTACAGGTTTTAATACGTGTCCACATGTCGTCCAGGGGCCTTTTTTTTACCTTTGAATTGTGCCTGTGGTGCCCAGTTACTTTCTGTCTTCTGTCGTCCCAGAGTGCCTTTCTGCATGCAGTTACAGCGCCTCTGAAAATGAGAGACTGTTGTTTGCATGATCCTGTTTAAATCATTCTCAAATAAAAATCATAATTGCCAGAAAATACTTTGTCCATGTTTCAATACATAGGAATGTTTTGGATATTTACTAAACTTGTTTTTTAAATTATTTTTTCATTTAACAGATTATTTTATAATAACTTTGTGTGATTTATTATAGTTTCTTGACTTACATAACCGTGTAGCTGAGGTAGTACAGAGTTTACTGATATGAAGCTTTTGAAGATACCTAAAGAAATGACATCACAGTTGGCAAGAATAACACCACGCTGGATCAATTGTGTTGCGGAGTTCAAATGGTTAACACCAACATTTGACACTGTCACAATACAAAAGCTGTTGTGCAGATGATTTGCTCCTCACGTTCTCCGTTTTAACCATCAGCTCGTGTCTGACCAGGCTTTCATTGATAGGAGCGCGTCAGTGCAGGTCAATCCATGGATCCTCGTGAAATAAAGACTGTCAGAGGCCGTGATACACGAGTTGGCTCTACTACGCAACACTACCCAGTGATTTTCTTCAGGCGTTATTGCTTTAATCAGGAAACGTTTGATTAGATTCTTGCAGGGGTGTCTCTTATTATTGCCTGTTGCTGGAATCATTGCCTGAAATCTAAATTACCTCAAAGTCATTTTTTAGAAATGACTCCCAGCTGCAAGGAACAGTGCAGTTATTGTGTTTTCATCCAGCCGAGCAATTTGCTGTTTGCACAGTATATTATGAGCTAACACAATGTGTGATCAAAAAGAATATGAGAGGCATAAATACAGTTATTGACTTTTTTCCCCCTTTCTGCTTTCTAATCTTTCTGTGTGTGTGTGTGTGTGTGTGTGTGTGTGTGTGTGTGTGTAGATATCCGTGACCGCAGGAAGAAGCCTGTCATGCTGTTCATTCATGGAGGCTCCTACATGGAAGGAACCGGAAACATGTTCGATGCCAGCGTCCTCGCCGCTTATGGCAACGTGATCGTGGTGACCATGAACTACCGGCTCGGCGTACTCGGTAAGTGGCCTCATTAATGGGTAAAAGGGCTATACACACATAAATTGCATTCGGTCTTATTTTGTAAAAGATTAATACAGATGAATGTGTCAGAAAAAAGCCAAATTAATTATTTTTTGTTAAAATAATTATTAGTAGCACACATTTATGGTGTGGATATTTATGAGTCTTGAGTCCTTTCGCATCTTGTCAAGTAACTGCACGATCATTAAAGTTTAATCAGATGAAGGTTATTAAGTCGTGAGAGGCCTGTGGATTCTCTGTATTTCATCTTTTATCAGTCATATCAGTGCAGCCGGTAGACACACACGACTTTAAACAGATTGATGGTGTCGCCCCACCTTTGACCTCTTTTTCCAAGTGACCACCGCTATGTTATTCATTTTTATTCTGGTTACACCAAAAACTGACTGATCTGGGATTTCTGCAGAAATGCACATCACAAGTCTGGATTTTAACGGCACGCCCCTTTGTTTGAAAAGCCGACCTCGAGTCGTCTGTTGTGCAGCATCATCCTTTCTATAGAAAGCAAGATTAGTAAAAAGAATAATGTGAGGACTGGGTCACAATGCAGATTTTGAGCTTTGTACCGAAACAGTTTCCCTACTTACAGGGAACATGAAATCACACCGGTGCCGTTTAAAAAGTATCAATTCACCAGCGATTATTGTAGAAGGTCCAAACATTACCCAAACTTTGTTACAATGCATTTTGAGTCACAGTGATAGTGAAGGATTTGCAAAGTAGTGTAGGTGGCTTTACACGCTGATGCCCGCTGAGCTCTGAGCTCTGCTGTAGACAAGTACAGAGGAAAAAAATGAGGATCATCTTTCACATCAGCTCTCCAGCACCAGCCTGTCAACCTTTTCCTGGAAATACACTTCACTTCTCCCCTCTGTTACTCTCCGCGCTCCGTCTCACTCCATTGAGACCAAGTCATTCAGCATGGAGAGGAGGAACATGCCTCTGTGGAGGCAGGTGCTAACTAAAGGAAACTAAGTGCATTAGATATTTCATTAGCTATAGAGAGAGCGGGCGTTTGGAAGCTGCTTCAAAATAGGCTCCTTCACTTTGATTTGTTTTTCATTTCTTTCCTTTTTAAGATGTCATTTTGTTGTTTTTTGCGGAGCTCTTGCACAGCTTTTACAATGGGGACAGATTTTCATTTGCATATAATTACTTTAAGGGTTTGCTATTCAATGCATCTTTATTGAGTTCATCAGCAGTTCTTGCTTCGAGTGGATAAGTAAAATGAAACCTAAAATGTGACGATTACCAGAGATCCATGAAGCTGCCAGGAAACCAATGTGTGACAGGAGTGTGTGTCTTCGCCTTTAGATTTCTGTGCTCTTACTCAGCTGATTATCGGGATCATTACCCCAAGGAGGTTATGTTTTCAGTCCTGTCTGTTTGTTTCTTGGTTGGTTTGTGTGTTTGTGAACGAGATTATACAAAAATGATTTTAGTGTTGTGTTTTTATTGTGAGATAGGCATTTTGCTACTGTTTAGCTGTTTTCCCAGTAAATAATTCATGGATCATGATGAAAAAAAATCAGGCACATTAACAGTGCTGGAGCTTGATTGAATTTAAGGTGAGGAATGTTGGGCCTTGGCAAAGGTATGCACTCTACTGTGTGTGCACCATTCTAGTTTTGTTTGTTTGTCGTATTTCCTGTTCATAAAAATAAGAGTGACTTGCTTTAGAACGCGAGCACCTCCACCGAGCTTTACGACTTACGAAAAATCCTGAATTCACCTGTTTGTCCAGATCCTAAATAAAAAGAGTTCTTCCTTGGGTCAGTCCTCCACTAAATTTCATGGAAAGAAAAAAGGAAAGAAAAAGGAGACCTGCTGACAGACCTGCATCCCACGTAAATCCAGTTATTTGTATGGACAAAACTGACTTTGTGCTTCATGTTTAAGCTGCTGGACTCTCTGTAGACCCACTGCACTTTTACTTGCCTACAAGCCTGTTTTTTCTAGTAGTAGTTTCTCAGATCTGGGAATGACTGGTGACTTTGATGAGTACAATGTCTTCAGAGGTGATCGAATATATTTCGAAATTATTAAAATAAGCCCAAGATGTAATACACCTAAATTCTCCTTTAATGTGGTTTAATGGGCCACATGACGTACTGTCAAGGAGGCTGGAAGTAGGGGTGCTGAGGGGGTTGCAGCACGGGAATTAAAACTGAACATATGAACAGAGAAAGTTTGAAACTGTCATCTTCAAATGAAAACAGTGTAGTATGGATGTAGCCTGACTCCAAAATAAACTACCGTTTCCATGTTCATTTTAAGGAGGGAACAGGTCACAACAGCGTGTCTCATATATATTTCACTTAGAATCATCATTATTTTCTTTAGAACACTAGAGCTGCACCCCCACACAGAGGAATAAGCTCTGTAGGTATATGTCTGACGATACTTGTCGTCAGGGCCCATTTAAATGTGGGATTCCCTCTTTTTGGAAAATGTATTTGCGAGTGGAAAAGATTTTTGCGGCTTGAGAAGCCTGGTCTAAAAATGTCTTTGCTTCTCTTCTGTCACTGACCCTGAGGCAGGCTAAGAAAAAATAACCTTGTGCAGCGTCTTCCTTCCTTTATCTCTTTAAATTTGAATCTGAATCAAGAAATAAACACAAACTGATTCTCCACCTCACATCCCTGTTGTTGGCATCCGAGGCGACTACGTCAGCTGCCCTACTATTCCTTCACTCCCCTTTTCCTGCCCAGTGCTTCGCCATTTTATGCCACCTATTTAGATCTCCCTCTCCCCCCCTCATGGCAGCTTGGCCATCAATCCATCCATTCCAAACCCTTTCACAGCTTAACACATTTAGTGCATTACAATACCAGCCAGGAAAGCAGGTGTCTCTTTGTATTCTGTGCTACTAATGGCTCCAAAAGTCAATTCTCCAGTTACCTTTTGTAAAGATTTTAAGTTTAAAAAAAATGAAATTATTGAGTAAAAGCATTGTTGGGGTGTGTTTAGTCACTTTGGATTCATGTTTAACACATGAGTTAAATTCAGTCTCTATGCTAATCGTTCTCTTTGCGTCATTCACAGACCTCATACAGGAGCATTAAATAAAAAAACAAAAGAAAATAGCAGAAATAGAGGTAAAGTGAAGAGAAATCCACACTCTCTCTCTTTTTTTTCCATCTGACTGATTGAGAGATGTGATCTTTTCTCTCTCTCTCCATTTCCACTGACATGCTGATTTAACAGCCACCCTGCCAGCCCCTTTTCCAGCTACACAAAATGCTTAACACCGTGGAGTCATTGACATAGCAGGACACGCCTGCTTCTATCCATATACTAATATGGAAATGTACCTTTCTGCACCCCAGACAGCTATTCTCTCCAGCAGCAGCAGACATGGCTGAAGTGGCGGTGGACGAAGCAGCAGGCGCTCTCTGCGGGGAATTCTGCCGAGTTAAATATGTAATGAAAGGCTTCGCCAGGCCACTGAGTACTTGACCTTGCCTCGGATGCCTTAGCAACAGACATGCTTACAGTAAATGCATCACCTCCACCCTGATGGGCTTTTAATATCCCTGTGCGGCCTGAGCGCGAGACAGGAAAGGGAGAACAAGAGAGATGAAAGTGAGACAATGAATTCATTCAGACGTTAACTGTGGTGATGAGAGCAGAGAGGTGGAAGAGCGCAGAACAAAGCTTGGAGCGTCGTTTGGTGCTGTATGTGGACATACTGTATGCACTGTGTGCGTGTGTGTGTGTGTGTGTGTGTGTGTGTGTGTGTGTGTGTGTGTGTGCGGGCCGAGATACACACTCATGAAATTGGGTGAGAGATTTTGAGAGATGAGAGAAGTGACAGTGGGAGAGAGATGAGGGAGAGGGCAGGGAGCAGGGGGAGAGAGAGGGGCTACGTTCGCCCGTGATGCTAAAAATAACACCTGCAGAGCTGTTTTTGAGTGTGCACCAGAGCAGACATTCATCTAGCGCACAATTCTGTGCACATGGCACACATTAGGCCGACCCATCTCTTCATTGCAACGACTGCAGCACACACACACACACACACACACACAGAGGATTGAATGTCTTGAGGTTGGGATGAATTCTCTTTAAAAATGCTCAGCCTCACACAGTCTTACTGAGTGTGTGTTGGGTGATATCGACTGTGACTTTGAGATAGAGGACAAGCTGGTCCACTATTTTCTGAGAGGGGATTAGCACCTCTCTCTCTCTCTTTTTCACACACACACACACGGCGCACATTCCCATGGGCAGGTGAGATGGCAGCAGACGCCCTCCTGCACTGACACACACATTAACACACTCACAGACATGTATTCAGACAGCTCTAACAGATTCCTTCAAACTCCCCAGACGTTGTTCCAGTTCTGTTTGTCCGTAGCTTTGATTTCTTACCCTACGCACCTTCTGCTTTATTACCTCCTGGGGATGAATTGAATTCTCTAACACCCACTGTTAACCCTGTATGTTGAACTTAGATATAAAGATTTACACGAACATAAACCTGTAACATATGTATTGATAGATAAGGTTGACCCCACCTTTAAAGCAGGCCGGTGAGAATGAAAACATTTCAGCTTTTGCGGCCGTGAAAGGAAGCTAATGTGTGATTGCAGTGAAGAGCATTTCAAGTTAGCACTCTAATGTTGACACATATTTAACTGACCAAAAAAAGCTCACCTCCAGTTCTTGCTTAGCAAGAGCTGACAATGTAAAGCACAAGCAGGGTTTATTTGAGTGCAAGCTTTGGATATCATGAAAAGCTAACAGAATCATGTATCCAAGTATAAAAGTAGATGAATTCCCTTTTTTGTTTTCATGTTCTCCTGCTTTTGTTGGTCGGCGTGGGGTCTGGTATGATTGTGACCCCCCCCCCTTTATTCTTTAAAAAAAAGAGTGATGGGACAAATTATGCTGATGTATGTTTCACATGTCAAACAATCAGCTTTGTAAGTGAGGAACCAGGGGCTGATAATAGCCACGGATGCATCATCATT